GGTGTTATGACTTGAGGTTGACATGGATTGAGGTTGATTTGTACTAGGGATTTGTTGTATGGGCTTGGAATCATTCATAGGCAGATTGGATGGTATTGTTTGTGGGCTACCTAGGTTTTGCATTAAAGAGGGTGGTGAACTTTTTGTAGGTATCTTAGGGTCTATATCCATGCCTTGTGATTTGTTATTCTCTACCGTCGAAACAGTAGTTGGTGCTAAGGGGAAGACGTTAGGGTCTTTTGTCTTGTGAGAGTTATTCCCCAAGGGGTTATGTGAGTTATGAGGAGAGTTAATGTCTTCTATGTTAGTAGTGGCAAGATCCTTAGGGTAAAGGCAAGATAAGGTGTTTTTAATGTGATGTTGATGTGCATAGTCTTTAGGTACTATGTTATCTACTTTTTGGTTTTGGGCTATAGGGTGCCGACGTTGGGTGATTGTATTATTACCTACAGATTTTCTATTGTCCAATGTGTCTTCACTTTCCTCAGCGATAATGGAGAGCTTTTGTTCTTCTCTAGTTTCAGTCTTTTGTCATTTTTGGGTACTAGGGATATTTTTTTGGGGTAGTCAACGCCCTAGGATGTTCTAGGTCGTTTCTGGTAGGGTATTTTGCTTGTTTTTTTATTTTTCTTTTGGTGTGAGACTATAGTCCATTGGTCTAACTTTTGGGTAAGTGTATCCACCATGTGAGGCTTGGACATGGAGTTGGAAGAGCTTGCTTCCTGTAACTCTGCTGGTTTGTGTGTTTGATGAGGGCAGCTGCTAACGTTGTGGCCAAGTCTGCCGCAGTTCGTGCATAGGAGATTAAATCCCTTGTAGGTAATTTGTTGTATGTGTTTGCCAATCACAATATAGGTTTTAAGGGGTTTTTCTATAGGTACCATTACAGAAAGTCGAGCATACTTACCCCTTAATGCGGATTTGGTACATGCGTCAATGCGTATTAGTTGTTCCAGCTTCTGTCCAATTTTTTGAAGGATCTCGTAGTCATAGAATTCAGTGGGTAGTTCCGGGAGCCTTGCCCATATGGCTGAGTAGGTTAAAGCAGCTTTGGAGGCTACGAACCTAGGCTCCCATTTTCTTACTGTGAGAAATTGATTCCCTATGAACCATGGTCCTTCATGAAGGGCCTTGTTATAATTTTCCTCTTTGGTAAATTTTATGAAGTAGTAGTCGCATCCCAGGTCTATTAGGGATAGGTTTTCAGTTGGTTTCCATATTGCATGGAGTTTTTTTTGTAGAAATTGGTAGTCAATCCTCCTCCCAAACATTTTGATGATAAGAGCATTTGTCCAATTCTTGTATATGCGCTCCTTGTCCGATAAGGTAATGGGTATAAAGAGTTCCGAGTTAGGATAGTTATTTGTTTCATCCTCATGTACATAGGAGACCATGTTTTTTTGGACTGTGACTTGGCTTCCTTCAGGTTCCTTATTTGCTTCATTGCCCGCTACCAAGGTGTCCAGGAAGGTCATCCTCTTCGTAGTATTTGTTATGTCCTTTGTTTTAGTTCCAGTTTTATCCGTGTGTGCTTCTTTGCATATTTCCATATCCATTGGGGTAGTTGTAGTGATGAGAGATCCCGGCGTTGTCCCAGTGATTTCCCGCTCGTTTGATGCAGGCTGACTTGAGTTCTCGTTAGCTTGGTTATTTTTTATCATGTTGTTTGCGTCCAGGGAGTTTTTTTCGTTAGTGTTCATCTGACTAGTGATGAGATTTGAGGAGCTAAGGATGGGGTATAGGAAATATTTAGAAAGGAGAAAGGGGGAAAGGAGGAAAACTTTTTTAGAGAGAAGGTGGAGCCTTTCTCTCTAACCCATTTTTTCGTTAGTATAAAACTTGATTTATGTGAAAGAATTCGAAGCACGAAACCAAAATATCTACTTTTTGGTGTGAATTCTTCAAAAAAAAAAAAAAAAAAATTATGTATTTACAAACAAAATGAAAATACTATTACTTCAAGCTATTCAAAATTTTTAAAAAACAATAGTAAGAGATGAAATGATTTGATTCCCTAAATCATTTCCCATGTAAAATGAATAGAAAGAGTATTTAGTTTCCAAAGACAAGATTAAGAAAGTTGTCATTAATGTTCCATCATTGTATAATGAACATTAGTCTTGAATGTCTAAAACAGGATAATTCACTAGGGAAACATAGTACATAATCTAGATTTGAATCAGTTGAATAATGTGGCCTAAGTGCACATAAATACATAATAATACTATAATGAAGCATATTATTGAAAGGACAATGTAAATAACAAATGGAAACTTAACGGCAACATCCACAAATAAGAAGAATTGTTCATTTGTAGCCTATTATAGGGTTTAGTATAGTAGTAGTAGCCCTTTCCTTGTCTCTCAGGTCTTAAACTTTCATCTGATATGTCACTCTCTATGCTGAATTGTATAGTCACTATCACCTTAGATTCTCTCTCTCATATATATATATATATATATATGCTGCAGAAGAATCCATTAGTCTTTACCTTATAAGTTATAAAAACCAAACAAGTTTTAAAAAATCATGACACAAACAAGATAAACCGGGCGTATGCAGTTTGACATCGGGTTTATCTGAACTCAATACTTTCGATGCGATATATAAATTTAAGTAAAAAACTCACTAAAATTGTAAGAAATAATACATATGAACACATAATTTTAAAAATATACTCCCTTCGTTTCAAAAAGATTGATACTATTACAATTTGGGAAGTCTACAAGTTTTTTTTTATCAAAATTTTTTTAATAAATAGATTGAATATGAATTATTATGACTTATAATACTTTTTGTGTAGTTCCTAAAAATATAAATTTTATTTTCAAAAACTCAAAGAATCTATGTCTAAATTCACGGTCATAGTTAAGTATTTTAATCCGAACAATGCCAATATTTTGAAACAGGAGGAATAATAGGTTTGAACCCATAAAACATAAATTGACGCCTGTAAGGATAAACATTAAGTAAAATCAGATACTACAAATGTGACCCCAAAAGAAAGAAAGAGAATTGAGAGTGGTGGAAATCCAATAGGTAATAGGAAATACCTTTGGAAAGTTGAAAAAAATATCCAGTTAGATACAAAATGTGCCTTTAATGTTTATGCTGATGCAATGGTCTGAAATTCCCCTTTAATAATTCACTATACTTACTTTGTTTTGTAACCAACTTTCACTATAAAAGGAAGAAAGACTATAAGGTTTCATTTTCCACAATGGTGTAAGATGGATATTAAGGGCAAACATGTACCAATGCCTTGCCACTTTCACCTCATTAATTCCTTTGCTAAAAAACACCTTCCCCTTTTCCCTCTTAGCTACTGCTCTACTACCCACTAGATTACAGCTAAACAGACTACTTTGATTTTACCTTCACTAGCTTTTATTTTGGATATACTCCTATTAAATATCTATAAATCTTGATATTTTCCTTATAGCTTGAATTTGCTTTCTTAGCAAATTTTATACTCCTAAGTAATTGATATATTGGTACTTTGTTTCATGTGGAATAAAGCTGGTATTACTAATTAATTAAATATTGCTCTTCATAATAATCAGAAATAATTTAAAATTTTGGATAAAGTAGGCTTATTCTTGTAGTGCTGACTAATAAAATACATGCAATCAAAAAGATAATCTCAAGTTTATCATATAAAGTCAAAGTGCAAGGTCAACCATAAATGATCTTCAATTGTCAATTTCAATGCAAAAAGGTTTGATTCTAAGTAGGAATTATTTCGATTTTATGAAACTTGAGCATTTGAGTTTCTCGATAAATCTGAAATTAAGAGAAGTTTGACTTGAGACACCATTAGACATTGATATAATGTGCTGATGATGACTTATTAACACCAAACGAGGACATGACTGACCACAAAATCAATCAGAAGTTCAGAATAAAGGAAAAGTAAGATAAAAAGGAACAAAATTCTAAAAAAAAAAAAGAAAAGGGCACTCAGTCAAACCAAGATTGATCTGACAGCACCAAGAAGAAGAGAAGGCAAATTTCAAACTGAACAAAGGCATATCTTGGCTGCCCAAAAATCCGTCTGATGGAAACCCCACATTACCCCTTATTTTTTTGTTTCTTTGTCTACGCGCACCTTAACTATTTCAATTAGTCATTTATTTATTTTTAGCAAAGCTGATATGTGAACCAGTTTCCGTTTGTTTCAACTACATTTAATCGTATATAGGTGTCGAGTAATTTTAGACTAGCGAAAAAATGACTTAACGTTTTTGGTGTGTTAGAATTTGAAGACCAAGTCTTGGTGCCACACATCAACCTCTTTTTTCTAATTTCCAAATTCTACTGACGGCTAATTGAGAATGTGATCTTCTTTCATAGCTTTCTTGGCCTCTATATGCCTATGCTCAATTCACTATTCATATTCTGCTTGGCCAGCCTACCTACATTCCCTTCCCGTTAACAACAATACAGGCCCTTTTCCACCCTGAAATAATGCTGCAAACGTCTCATCAGTTGCCTTTTCCCACAAAACAGCTTTGAAATATCTTACATGCAATGGACATGACAAAATCACACACTAAACAATGTTATATTATCACCAAAAGCCAAGCTGAATACATCATCTACTATATACACTCAAAATCTGCCTCGTTTGTTTCGAAATTTTTTGGCTGTTATAGTGAAGTACTGTTACATATATATATATATCACAAGCGTTTTGCACTTCCACAAAGTAGTTATTTGCAAAACACACCAACTTATCAAGCAATTATCTCACGCTTTCTCAAACATTTTTAGCAGTTGAAAAAGCAATGAGCTGCACTACTGAAGAGATTTTCATGATCATTTCTAATCTTAATACGACGAGCCACTAGTAAAATTTAACTAAGCCACTCCTAAAGATGAAGCCAGCTTCCTATAAATTATTAAGTGGAATGTTAAAAACTGTATCTTCTTTCTATTGACCGAAGGCGACTGATCAGAGTTCATCTGCCACATTTTTGTGCATTAAGTAAAACCTGTAGTATAATGAGAAAAGGATGAAACTGTATTTTCTTCCATCGCTATTCAGACGCATTGCTCAACTTTCAGTGTCGTACATCTACTTATAATGAGAAATCACATGTACATACAGGAAAATTTCCTTTTGAAAGAATATAATCGAAATAAAATGTCGCGTGCACTGCTACCATAATCACCATCTTCTTACCAATGATGTTAGCAACTGCAACAAAAGGATATTTTTCTTAATAAATACAGAAATTAACAAGCAACCAAGTTTTACACAGTTGCTGCATAGTTATCATGTAAGAAACAAACATTCATGGCATAGGGGAAAAATAAGAATAAGACTAGAAAGTAAGCACAGGTTTACACCCACTCCTTTTCGTTTCCATTTGTTCCCTCAATGAACGTGAAAAACTCGCATATTTACTATTAAGTTAAGAAAAAACCATGTTTGTCCGAGAACAACCCAAAAGTCAGCAATTAAACGATACCGTGTCAACTTTGCATGAGCTCTTAGCAAACAAATTGATCAAATGTCAACCAAGTGTTATTTCAACATATAATGATACTATCAAACTTTCATGACCTCTTACGCAAACAAATTGATCAAATGTCAGCTTTATGTTTTGTTTTGCCTTAAGATACGGAAAAAAAAAAAGCCATCACACGCAGGGGCAGATATAGCCTTTCGGCTATGGGTTCACCTGAACCCATAACTTTCGACGCGGAGTATGAATTTATATGTAAATCTTACTAAAATCTCAAAAAATATTAGATTTGAACACATAATTTTAATAGTACAATGCTAAAAAATTTAAAAGCTGAACCCATTAAATTTAGATCCCGGATCCGCCTCTGAATTCACACGCCACATGCATATAAAGTTCCATGGCTTGAGTTCACAGATTCGATTGCTCAAACAGGGTAGCCATGTTAAGGAAGCAAGAAAAGGTCATAGAAACAGCTATCGCGCCATTAATATCCCAAGTTACTGATTAGACAAGAGAAACTTTACCTCAAAAAGTTCAAAAGGGCTTCCGCTCTTATAAACATCATTCTTCTTCGGTTGGTCCTTTGGTAAGATGCTGAACAAGAGCGTCCTCCATCCGATAAGTAATACAGCAGTACTCCCCATGGTAACTATTATGAAGTTGACTGGTGGTATATGACCCACAGAGGCAGCCCTTATAGCTAAACCCACCTGCAAATGAAGAGAAGCAGAGAGTAAATAAGAGTCAGCTGACAATTAGGAATCCTTGATCCTCAACTAATGGAGAAAAAAACGAAAGGCTGATAAAGTTTTTTAAACAAATACATGATCAAGCTCATGCTTCACGTAAGTGGGAGGGACTGAGCATAATCTATCTGTCTAACCTTTATCCTCAAATTACATCACTTCCTACTAATCTGTACACTATAACGTCAACAGTTCTGGATGCTCTCTGACATGCAGTCACACAACATGCTGCCTTGTTCCAGCTTTACACAGCAAATAATTTCCCATGATGGGTAAGGCCAAGAAAATGCCCAACAAATTATGCAGATGACAAAACTTTTTCATTGTTCAATGACTATAATGAAATTCACTGGCAATGTATCAAGATGCGAGGAAATCTTGAGACTAGGAAATGATAGTTATCTATCAAACCCTAATGGAAGGCCAAAGCATCCATGGAAATGTCAAAGCAAGTATTGCATACCAAATCTTACGAAAAGACTACTTTAAGCAAATATAACCAGAAACATTTACCGAAGAGGCGAAGACAGTAGATCAGCCACACAAGAGTGAGTGTAACAGGGGAAAGATCCCCAATGTGATTTGTTAGCACTCAAATAAAGACTTATCCATAGTCATTTCCCTTTTTTTAATTCATTTTATGTGACGCATGACAGCATCTTCCCTATCAACACCACTGAAGAGATTCATATTCTCACTGTTGTCACTGCTGTTATCACATAGATTTGTGATGAATCATAGGAGAATTTGATTAACCATATATATTTTTTCCTATCGGAAAAGTTGCAATATATGAACACCCCTAAAACACCTATTTTCACAAAATCATTTAAACTTCAAGCACCAAGCTCTATACTGAATATATATGGTAAACAAAGGAGAGAAATGTTAGATGAGAACTGGAGGTTTTATTTCTAACAGAAGCTTGTCTAATGAATCTTAGGCAGAATTTGATTAACCATATAAGTTTTTCCTATCAGAAAAAATGGAACATATAAACAGCCAACTTGTAAAAAATGAATTGGAATGCCAATAACACTTCAAGGACCCCCTATAACAAAAGGAGAGGATTGTTTGAGGAGAACTAGAGGTTTTATTCTCAAATGGTTTCAAAGACAATCAAAATTATTCTCAATAATTCCAACTCTCTCATCTATTCTACACAATATAAGTGTATCACTAGGATGACTGCAACTTGTGATGTGCGGGTTAGACGCACATCATAAGTTTTGAACCCTGCCGCGGATAAAACGCCTGGTATTAAGTGATGAGAGAGGGGCGGGCCTATTATCCAGGAAGTTTCGAACAGTGCGCCACTAACCCTCGGGAATTTTACGGCTATTTAAAAAAAGTCACCTATGGACTTGAAGACATTATCAGAACACAGTTTCAGTGGAACATCCAATAGTCCTAATTTCAATTTTTTCGGCCGGCCTCTACGCCTCAAATATTCACAAAGACCACTAATCTAGTAGCAATTATACTTATCCTAATACCAATCCCCCATTTAATTATTCCCTCTTTGCCTCTAGAAGGGAAATCAAACAAAAATGATCCAAATAATTCAGTACATTGTCACATCTATTTTATGTTTCGATATTTCCCATCTCTCAAGTCATATAGAAGGATTATCTTCCTTTCCTTCGACGAACTACCAACCAAAGTTGTGTAAAGGAAGTCCTTTTTGGTTATGAGAAACCTTTCTTATGCAATTGATGTCACTTTGTTTTCCTTTTTCATCACTTTATCAGCAACTCCCTTATTAGGCCACTCCTTGGGCCGTATGACCTCAACATAACTCTTTTGTTTAATACCTTGATTATAATCAGTCTGAAGATGCTCTCCTAGCTCTGCAAACTCCTGAATCCAATAAGCTATATCCAGAGTTACAAGTGTTCTCAGGGATTAAAATGTTGCTTCTTCTTCTATCTTAAATTCCAAGCATTCTAACGAAACTTACATAGTGGTTAAAGCTTTGCTTGATGTAGTACTTTTACAGCTGATCTTGCTTCCTCCAGCTACAAACAAATTTGCCACTGTTCTCTGATGCTGATCTCTTCAGTCTTCTCTACTCAAATCCAGAAAAGAATGTGGTAATTGATGAAAATGCTGCCAACAAAATTCCTACCTCTTCCACCAGCAAAACTACAAGAATTTCCCTTCTCCGCTCTCTTCCATTCCCAATTGTGACCAACAATGAAAGGCAATCTTGTATCCATCTTTAATTTAGCAGAAAATAGCACGTTTCTCATTGTCATATCCTAGGTTTAAGTTACTCAGTGAAACAATCTCAAATTTTCACGGTAAAGAGAATCAAGTAAACGAAACAAAGATTAAGCAAGGGGTAGAAAGAAGGAAGCCGCTAGAAAGATGACAGTAAGTATGAGTACAGAAAATTGGCTCACTAGTCATTCCCCAAGAGAGAGAAAGTTGTAAACTGATCAAATCATATACTCATCAAGATATTGTTGCGGCCTCCAGGTTTAAATATTCGAACACAACTATCAAAATTAAATTGAGCTGCAACCCCATAGTTCATTACCCATACTTTTTGGCCTTAGAGCTATCAATAATATGGATAATGAACAATCAGGTTGTAGCTAAATGTAATGTTCTTCACCATCACTTTATCAAATATAATACAAATTCGTAAGTATAGTTGGATTACCAAATTTTCTTTCACGGACTTTTTAACGAGCAAGATGTCCAGTTGAAATGATGTTTAACTCTATTCACAGTTGGAAATTGGTCATTTATTTATTTTGTTGACACCTTTATTCTAATTCCTCTTCTTTAAATTTGATAAGTTGTATTTAGCAGATACTTCGTTCCTTTAGTTACTTTCTACTCTTAAAAAAGGTAGTTTTAAACTCTTGATTATGAGCTAGAGCGCTTTTGACCTATAGGTCACGGGTTCAAGCCGTGGAATCAGTCACTGATGCTTGCATCAGGGTAGGCTGCCTACATCACACTCCCTTGGGGTGCAGCCCTTCCCCGGACCCTGCATGAACGCTGGATGCTTTGTGCACCGGGCTGCCCTTTTTAGCGCTTTTACATATTGTACTCTCTCCTTCCACACAACCACTTTTGAGACATCCCAAAATGTTTGACATGTTTCTACAAATAGTAATACTCCATTGATACAATTGACAATCCTCAGTTCTACAAAAGCAATGTACTTCATTTAAATAGTTCAACATTAAGTAATGTGATGTTTCTGGTTCATACTAAGTTATCAATTATTAAGTTGATATTTTTTCTACATTTACCAAAAGAAGATACAATGGGATCGTACCTTGTACTACTTGTACCCATTCACACTATGTCACATACAGAAAGAGAGTTTTTTGTATATGCAAGCTATAGAGAGAGAGAGAGAGAGAGAGAGAGAGAGAGAGAGAGAGAGAGAGAGAGATATGACAGAACGCAAAAAAATAGATACTTATACCACACATCATATATGGAGTTTTGTCAAGGCGGAAATTGTAACCTTTCCAAGCAAAGATAAAAATTTCATTAAGACATAACTTATCCTTCCTCCTTTCGTTTAGTAACTTGTTTGATTGCGCACGGAAGTTTAGAAAGAAAAAAAAAGACTTTGGGAACTTTAGCATCAAACGTGCCATAACATTTGTTTGCCTATATCAGTTCTTAAGTATAATATGAAAAGTTAAGAAGTTAAATCGTTCCTATATATAGAAAAGTGTCATTCTTTTTGGAACAAACTAAAAAGGAAAGAGTGTCACATAAAATGGAAAAAAGGGAGTAAATTCTAAGCACACCGAAACTGGTTTTAACCTATGATGCAGTTCAACAAATTCAAGCTTATTCCCGGTCACATGCAGTCAAGCACAAACAAAGTTACTGAGCAATAGTTCTACTTAAAGCCTCATTCCACTCTGGAATGTTTCTTGATTAATAGCTTATTTGTTCTCCTGCTAAGGGCACAGAATGTTTTACATAAGTATTACAACTTCATTCTAATTACACCTCACTCGCCGTTAGTAGCCCGATCTGGAAGCACCATTTCAGCTCACGACCGACAACTTTCATGGCACAGTCACCCTAAAAGAGGCTTTGCACCTCCTTCTCCTATTCAAGTTTGTCGCCTTAACCATGCATTTTGCATTATGTGCAACTACCACACATCCATGAGTTTTCTTTTGGCAGATCTCTACATCTTATTGGGAGTGCCAATACTAAAAGTCTAATTCCTAAGATATTTCCTTCCTCACAATAAATTTGTTCCTGTCTTTCTAAAATGATAGAAAAGCCTAAGTTCTTGAAATTCTGCTCCTTATCTCCTGAGAGCATTGGCCAAAGCCCGAGGAAGTTTCAAGCTGTAATTGTTGGGAAAAGTTATCCTCATGTGATTGGCTAACGAGAAGAAAAGAAAAAAGGCAAGGAAGATAGCCTTCCATTGCCGACCATAACGGAGAAATGTCAGCAGCCAAAAATGGCAACCAACTTTGGCAAAGAACAGTAGGAGCCTAATTAATACGCTAATGTAATTGATGACGTCAGCAGAGTATTTTGAAGCCTGTAATAGGTCTCTTCTCTGCCTCTTTCATGCTTCCGAACTGGAATTCAATCTCGTGGATCCGTCGCACATTTCTTAGGAATAGAGATGTAGATCACTTGTTGGGACCCTTGAAATACCCACAGAATATTCATTGTAAATAAATGAAATAAAAGTGAGAAATAAGGAACTGATAAACCACGACCCAAGAGGAGCAAAACAATACCACTACAGTAGATAACATACAATAAGCAATCGAGTATCACAAAATCCCCGAGTTTAACACACTCAAAAGGAATACCTTTTCCACCACTACACAACTCTCTTTCCACATAGACAATACCTCACTCTATGATCTACAACTCTCTATTCTTGAGAGCTCCTCGGTGGATCCACTAGATTAAATTCCAATTGGATGCTTGAATGAGGCAGGGGAGATGCCTATTTATGAGCTTCAAAAATATTGTATTGGACAGCGTATTAAATAGGTTCCTACTTATTCTTTGTCCAAATCCGGTCAATTTTAGACGACTGCCAATTTATCCTTTGGGTCAGCAAAGGAAGGGAAGAAGTCTTCCTTTGCCTTTTCCTTTGTCTGCTTCCTTTTGTTCCTCTTTCTTGTCTTTTACCTTCAGTCATCACATGCGGATGACTTCCCCACCATTAATATCTAGCTCTGTGATAGTTAACTAAAGACCACAGCTTACAACTAGTAACTATTAAAAAATGGTGAATAGAAGCATTCAACTGAGCTTTTAAATTTTCATGTTAGAGAAGCTGCAAGATGTATAACTACCTAGACTTGTTAATAGGAAGCAAGGTTGACCAAATTTCAGTCATCCATATAACGGATTTGTTTGGTAACCACCAGATAATGAGAAGAGTAACCAAAAAATATCTATAAATTATAGTAACCAATCAACTGGTATATAAAGAGGACTAACCGGAATGCCTAATGACCATGATTTGGTAGCAGCAATGAAAGCCTTAAAAAGACCATTTTTTCCTCGACCATCCTCCCCATATCCTCCAAGGAAATATGCACTCAAAAACCAACCTAAGGAACACAATTATCATTAAAAATTCAATCTTTATGTTCAAGAATACATAATAACTTAGAGAGATAAGCATGACATATCAATTCCCCTACCAGCAATGAAAGGATCAGAAGTTCGCAGCGTGTCGGGATCAAATACAGGGAAGCCATGACTGAACCTTCCAATTGCCGAGAACAACAATAGAGCCGCTACATCTCCACCAGCTAACAATGCCACCCAACTGAAAATCCACAAATTCAAAAAGAAAAAAAAGAGAAGACATTGAATCCAATGAACAACACAATACATACAAACAACACAACAACAATTACACCTTAGTCCTCACTATCAACCCCACTCCATTTCAGGCACGTTTAATACCAATAATCAATAACACACTAACACGGTATTACATAGTCCCTCTGTAATCATCTCATTAAGGGTAAACTGGAAGTTTAAAGGAAAAAAAAATTCTACATATTGAAAGGGGACAGACTAATAGAAAAGTGCATGCATAGATTGGGACAGAGGAAGTACTAATCAGATAAACAAAGACTTACCCCCATTTGTTGAGTTTATCACTAAAGGAAGAAGAATCGGGTTTCTCAAACTGGATAACACCTTCAAGAGGAACAGTATCTTGGCCCACGAAAGTGATTCCATCATCTGAGCCGAAAGAAGTTGACCCATTATTTGATCCACTAGTACTAGTAGTAGCAGTATTAGTTTGACGAGGAGCGCCGGCGCCGGAAGACGATTCAGCGTTAGCAAGAGTGAGGGGTTTAGGGCGATTTTTTGGGCCGTGAATTGGGTTAGTAGTGGAGACTTTAGTGGGCCGGCGGTGGGAGAAGAGAGGAGGAATAGGGTTGGTGAATTTGAGGGAACAACGATGAGTTGCCGATAAAGCTCCGGCGGGAGCTTGGCTTAGAAGGTTCATTGTTTCCACTGCTTCCAATTCGTGGCTATCGTTCGATATGATTTCCGTTTTTTGGATTTTTGGTTTAAATTAAAAATAGTGGCACATTTTAACCTTAGTGGGAGCAAGCTGTTTTAGCCAGAAAAAATATTGTAAATTTTTTGAGAGAAAACCTAGGTGGAAAACAGGAAAATGATTTTTGGAAAGAACCCAACCCCAAAAAATAAAATAAAAAATATTGACAAGGTTATAAAACTTCTCTAATTTTCCTAGCCATAAGAAGTATTTTTCTAATGTCATATCAAACCAAAACCTTTTCAACGAGGAAAAAAAAAACCTGCAGCGCCCTTTTTTGAAGTTGTTAAGCCATCCTCCAATCGGCTAAAATTTTTGTTTTTTTATTCCACGGAGAAACAAAGCAACAAATTAAAAAAAGGAATTTTTACATACATATACACTATTGAAAACTTTATTACTCTCCCTACTCAAGTTTCACTTTAATTACTTCCTATATACAAAATTACCAATTATGTGCATTTTTGGGATTTAAGGATAATTAATCAATTCCTACAATCACTCCCACTCCCCCCACGTTTCTCCCTCTGTATCCTACTCCCCCACGTTTCTCTCTCCACATCCCACCCCCCTCCCCCACGTATCTTGCACAAGAGAGGAGCAATTCCACAATTGACAACTATTAAAAAGTTTTGAAGCTTTGAATTTGAATTTGGATTTTCAAAAAATATTATTTGTTTGAATTGGGTGTTGTTGCAAAGAATTGGGATTCCAATTACGTCTCTCTCTATCTCTCAATCCCTAATTTCAGTAATATAAAGCAAAGGAAAAGAGAGCGAAAATTCCACCATTGACACTCATTGCTTTGAAGCTTCGAATTCGAATTTGGGTTTTTAAAAACCATTATTTGTTTGGATTGGGTGTTGTTGCAAACAATTGGGAATATGGTTTAGAGTTTATATCTCAATTTTGAGGGTGTTTTGGTGAAGATTGGACTTGATTTTGGCTGAATTTCAGATTGAAACTCGAAGAAGAAGAAGAAGACATGATATACATTATATTTATGAAATTGTAGAAAAATTATATTTTGTTGTGTGCGTGTGTGTGTGTATATATATATATATATATATATGTTTAACTATTGTATGAAAGTTGAACAATATTGTATAAAAATTATATTTAAGTTGTATGATATTGTAGTTGTATATAACTGGATAGAAATAATGTATGAAAGTTGTAGATAATTTGTAGAGTTGTAGATAAGTTGTATAATATATAATTAGTTATATGAAATTTGTTTTTACTATGTATAAATTAGATACAAAATATACAAAAGACATATTGTATAACATTTGTATAAAATTTGTATTTAAGTTGTATGTTATTGTAGTTGTATTTAACTTGGTAGAAATAATGTGTGAAAGTTGTAGATAAATTGTATAATATATAATTAGTTGTATAATTTTTTTTATCATGTATAAATCATATACAAAATATACAAAAGACATATTGTATAAAAATTATATTTAAGTTGTATGATATTGCAATTGTATTTAACTGGGTAGAAATAATAATTTAAACAATATGTATATTTATATCTTGTGTCAATATGTTGAATTTGGTGAAATCAACTATTTACATGAACGAATTGTGAGCGTTACTGTGTTAAACCAAAAATCAGACAAAACTGTTAGAAAAATAAAAGAAACTGGAAAAACAGAAGAGTTTAAGAAATATTCCGAGTCCACAATTTTCTTGTGTGTCCTTAAGGAATTTTAACCCCCTCACACGTTGCCAAGGTAATGGATTAAATCCTCCCAGGATAAAACAGAATAAACCTTCCTGCAACAGTGGCAATACAAACTGCAGGATACCAACGAACTCAAAGAACGGAGCAAAATCACACTTACGAATTTGAGAGAGAGAGACTGCGAATTAGGATGCAGTATATTCAGAAAGAAAGAAGTTCTGGAGTATTTTTCGTGTGTAGAAAATGGAGCCTTGCCTCAGAATTTATAGGCAATTATCAGAAGAGGTGTCTGGAAAAGGTGCCTTTTCAGAAGAATACGCTGCCTGCCGCGGTTCTACCGCGATCGCTGCAGAACCGCGGTCAGAGAGGCTCTCTGAATCAGCCTGCCGCGGTTCTACCGCGGTCGCGGCAAAACCGCGGTCAGAGAGGCCCTCTGAACCTTCAGCAGGGTTCTGGCGTATTTTCAGCAGTGATTTGGCATTTAATTAATTATTAAATAATTAAATAAATTTTGTCCAAAAATAATCTTATCGATC